AGAAGATTTGTTGCTAGAAGAGGACAGATCAGGCTCCTTCAATCAGATAATGGTACCAACTTTGTGGGAGATGAAAGGGAGTTGCGTGAGGCAGTCAATAATTGGAATCAAGCCAAAATCGGTGAAGTACTCAGCCAAAGGAACATAAGTTGGCAATTCAATCCTCCATCAGGGTCCCATTTTGGTGGCATATGGGAGCGCCAAATCCGCACCATTTGAAAGATCCTATATTCACTGCTCAGAAGCAGATGATACACCTGAATGACGAGTCACTGCAAACATTGTTTTGCGAAGTTGAATCTATTGTGAACTGTCGTCCAATCAGCAAGGTTTCGGAAGATCCTAACGATCTGGGAGCCCTAACTCCCAACCATCTATTGCTACTACAGGCTAATCAATTACCATCACCAGGAATATTCAACAAAAGTGACTGCTATGTCCAACATCGATGGAGACAGGTTCAGTATTTGGCAGATGTCTTTTGGAAGAGATGGACAAGGGAATATTTACTGCTACTACAAGCCAGAAGTGGACAACGCCCCGAAGAAATCTCTAAGTAGGGGATATTGTTTTAGTTGTTGATAACAATGCACCCAGAAATTCATGGCCTATGGGTAGAGTTCGTGAAGTCATGCAAGACTACAAAGGACTTGTTAGAATTGCTAGAGTAAAGACAAGGATGACATCGCTTCTCCGACCTGTAGATAAGCTTTGCATGATCTTAGAGGCAGATCAATGATTCAATGACATATTTATCTTAACACCATAATGAAAGTGAATGCTGAGGATTCACTTGCAGGTGATGTACTGGAACCTCTCCCTGCTAGACAAGTATTTGGCTTTATATAAATATTTGTAAATGTTTTGTATCTTACTCAACATTTAGAGGGCCGGAATGTTGCCGCCAAAGACAGTGTTATGGCACTCTATTAATTTAGTATAGCGCCACCTAGCGATGAAGTGTATTTTTTTTTATTCAATTTAATTCGGCTAACCAACGGGCAATTTTGGTGAAAAAGTGATAAATCACCATTAACGTGTCAGCAGCAGTTGTCATAATTCAATGAACTATCTTTCACTTATTTTTTCCGTAATTCATAAAAGCAGCGTTTTGTGCCAAATTATTTTCTAAACAAAGTGACACAAAGAACCATTATTACTAACTGGTAGCAACGACATGTAAATTTAATGTACCCAGTCATTACACTATAACATTGTCCAATTTTAATTTAGAGGGAACCATCCCAACAAAGTGAAACATCTAGCATCTAATTGTCCAAGTTTGCATATGCCCATTATGGGATTCTTGCCTGTTGTACTTTAATCAGGATTACAAATAATTGGTAGTCGAGTTTTTTTGTTTGGACATGCTTGAGCTGTATTTATATGACCTCATAACCAAATGGTCAAGGCATTACCGGGAAATGCGCACATCCACGCACATACACAGAATTATTAGTCCCTGTTTCAGAATACAGCCGACTAAATAAAAAAGAATTAATTCGTCTGAGACCCCGCTCCTCTACAATGACATTTTCAGTTGAAAGCAACGGTAACTTCAAAGGCTTGCTCTGTAAAGCAGTATCACAGCCTACTTAAACTGACGCTGTCTGCAATGAATAAAAAATATCACCTACCCTCCAGCATTACAACACAAATATATAATAATCCTTGTTCCTACGCAACATGGGCGGAGTAGATAGTCAGTTCATTATATTCAAACGTATATTACCATGTCTTGTAACAGATCATCACTTCTTTTGTCGTATGCAGTTCGAAGTCGAGTATTTCGCTGTTGAATGATCCGCAATCACTAGCAGAATTATGCCGACTAGAGATAAGGTGAGAAGATAGAAAATAAATGTATTTTATATTGTTAATGAAAAGTACATATCATACTGCTTGCATGTAGAGAGTTTAGAATACATTGAGATGATGCGCCTTGTACATCATAGCACATGAAATACAGTACACCTGTACGTTTGCGTGATTACAACATGTGTTTGTTTGACAATAGAATGACGAAAGAAGTACATTTAACCGGCGTCGAAAATTTATCATACTTGGAGTTCTATTTGGTTTTGGAGTCGCATCTCTGGCAATAGCAATTGGTCTTACAAATGTAAAATATGATGGACTCCTCAATACAACAGGTAATGTAAAACAATTCTACTAGTTCTCTCTCCATTTTTCAAATGTTCGAAACTAAATGGCTGATGTACTGTCATTGTTACTCATTTTTCCTTCGACAGAAGCCAATATGACAACCCTTCAGATGAACTCGACATACAGTCCGTGCTTAGATGACTCATGTCTGAATGGTGGTACTTGTAGCGGTTCAATGGATGTCTTTACTTGTGATTGTGTTGATGGTTATCATGGAGCGACATGCCAGGAAGGTATGTAATGTTTCAGTCGCTTGATAATAGTCTCTACATACGTAGTCAGAAAGTACTGTGGTTAATTGGAATGTTCTTACATTTTCGGCAGATACAGACGAATGCATATCAAGCCCATGTCAAATGAACGGTACTTGTGACGATAGAATAAATGGCTATGAATGTCAATGTAGTGACGGGTATGAAGGTTTTCACTGCGAGATTGGTAAGCACAATCTAGAAAATAACGTATATATATATATATATATATATATATATCCTGATATTTTCGATATGACACTTAGTGATCAGTATCAAATATGTCAAAACAACACTCATTCCTTTTATGTTGATATCTTTTTACCTGACAATAGTTCTACCTTGAGTGGGACAAATATTTGTTCAATAAGCTTGCATTTGCCTTTTACAGAAACAAATGAGTGCCAGTCAAATCCATGTCATAATGACGCTCTCTGCGTAGACCTATTCAATGGATATTGGTGCGATTGTAAGTTATTTATCTTTTATGGAATATTTTAAATATGACGAATCGTCGTTCATTGCTGCTACTCAGAGCAGTAACTAATATATATTTGTCTGTAGACTGCTGGAACTATGATATATGTTTTGGTGGTGTTTGTATCAATGAACCAGCGGGTTCATTCACATGTGATTGTTCAGCAGGTAAGAACCATTTGAAAATCATTATGCAATATCATATGATTTGTCCGTGCATGATAATCTTGTTCAAGTATAACTAGTGTGTATTAAAAGGCGAATTTACCATACAGGTGCCATGACAATATATATTTTAGTTGGGCTATTTTCACTGCTTTCGTCAACTGAGCCTTTCCCCAAGCTATGATTATCTGCATACATTTGTAAGCAATGCAGTAAAGACGGTTTAAGACCCCTTTTCTTTTTTTTGTATAAACTCAGAGAACATACACACAAAGCACACTCGAAAACTACATTGTCATGTACTTAAATGTATTTAACAATTCAATTCTATTATTTTGTACAGGCGGGTGGGCACGATATCAGGTCAAATATTACCCCAAAACACAATACACAATTCTTGTAAAACAGGGTTAATTTAGATTGATGGGCACCAATACAGTTTAATCCAACTATATACATATGCATTTAATAGAAACAAGAATGCAAACTGGTCAATATTACACAAAAAAACATCTCACATGAACTAAGTGTAACCATAGTTTATTAGATGCAACACTCATCCTTGATATAGTTCTCATCTCTCGTAGTATCACCCCTCCAAGGGATAGTTCAGTGCACCCGACGGAAAAAACACAGAACAAACACCACAATACCGGTAATGGTCACGCTATAAGAGGGAGAAACAACATTCAATAATCTTTATATAAATATTTTTTAAATAAAAAAATCTCTATATGCCATAGTATATATAATAACTGAAAGCTAACTAGTGTGAGTGTGGGAATTTTCGGTGCCTTCAAGTTCCAAACTAGTGTCAAGCAATGGTGCTTTTGAGGTCAATACAGCCACCAGTGTGGAGGTCATCACCCCCAGCGAATTTAAAGTAACCGGCGAAGGCTGTTTCAGAAGCTGGGTATCGAACCTTTTCAACTAGGTTTTCATTCGGTTTCACTTCAGATTACAATGTTGAACGCCGGGTTTGGCTATGGCGGTACGTGGATCCGCTCATCAGATTTCAGGGTCACCCAAATAGTGGACCCTTGTTATTGGGCCAAATATTGAGCAGCAACCCCGTGGAACAATGCAGTCAAACTTTACACAGTTTATTGTTACCAATCGTTAATTGGCTTCAACACATTACATCACCAAGGTGAAGTGAAGTCCGGTGTGACATTAGGGCGACCCCTGTGGCATCTTTCAGACATTTGTAGTTCAGTGTTAAATGAGCATAACTCGGGGATATAAACCATATCCCTAGGTTAGGATAGTTATCAGTTTATATTATAATTAAGGTAGAGATGCAGGTTCGTGGGCACTTGGGAGTGAATTTTTTCTTTCTGCTTTTTATTATCCAAAAAGTCTTGGCTATAGACTGTTGAAATTTTGTAGAATTGTGAATAGTGGAACATACTCAAAAAAACGATTTTAAAATATAGATAACAGGTGCAAACATTATCTCTTTTGATGCTTAGCAAGATTTAGCAAGGCTGTACATAAATAATTAAAAAAAACATGGTGAAAAAAAGAAATGACGGGTTCTCCATATTATGCACTGTATTTAACTTTTTACAAAACGATAATACATTTAAATTTGAAACTGTAACAGCGATTTTAATTATGAGCATTAGCAAACTTCTTACTGAGTGAATTGTTATGCAAATTAGCAATTATCTCAGCTTCTTTTTAGTGCACATTCCAGAACTTGTGAAATTTTCACAAATGATTGACAATGTGTTTATCTTCAAAACGCCGTCGGGCATTGTTTTTAGTTGAATAGTGTTACAGCAATCGTACAGACAACTACCCTGGGTGTTAATTTATGCATAAACTTGAAGTAGTGAAATTTGAGCTGCTGCCCTACAAAATTGACAACTGGTAGACAGTTTTCAAGACGGCACTTTCTTCATGGTAAACAGATGTACCCATAAACCAATTTTGACAGGAAACAGAAGCATGGTTTAGAAGCTAATTTTTTTAAATCACTTTTGACCAAAAAAGCACATTTTTGTGCATATTTCAAACTACAGTGTCCATAAAAATAAAATACTAACAAAACTTTAAAATTCATACAATAAGCTTTCCGAAAATATATAGTTTTGTGGACAAGGGAGGTCATCTTGGTTTCCTAATTAATTAATTGAAATACCTGTCAGGTAAACTGCATCGCTACCTTAAATGCCCGTATAAATCTTTAGTGTACGTCAAGTAATTCGTTATATAAATAAATTGATAATTACATCTCCCGTTTCTTAAAGTTTAATATGATCTGTAGTTAAAATTTGTTAAATCTCTGTTTTAAAGCGTGTAGGAAAAGGTCAGAATCGATCTCTGAAAAACATACATTTAAACAAAACATTTGCCTATATGATAACGTATTGGCGTAGAAGTGTTGCAATCTAAATCTTATTAGCATTGCAGACTTTATAAGAAGCGTTTCCACAAATAATATATATTATTATACATCTGTCACCGTCACGCTATAAGTTACAGCGTGCCGTAATTTTGCGGTATTTTATGGGGTATTTTCATTCTACCAAAATAGGAAACGCGAATTCAAAATATAAAACGATTACACGTGTAAGCGTCCTCTAATAATAAAAAACAAACATGGCTGCCCCCAGGGTTTGACCGGACCCAACACAAAGAAGTTCGCTAAATCTGTTCGTAAAATCTGTTCTAAGCTCGGACAGTACTCGGTCGGTCCATACTTCCGCCGTACTGTCTTCGTGCATACTTTGCAGTATCCTCGTAATACTCTCATAGTACTACCATACAGCAACCACATATTAGGAGTTGTAAGTGTGTTTGTATTGCGTAACGTCTTTATTTGTGTTTGGACAGGTTAGCCACACAGAATAAAACATCGATGTGCTGTCAACAGAAACATTTTATTTATTTGAATGTTCATTTCATGATTGTATGTAATATTGATTTGTACATATCATTCCATATATATTGTATATATTGTCTTCTTCGATAACAGAAGGTGAACTGGTAAATATAGCATTGGGGAAAACAGTCACACAAAGTAGTACAGCTAACGAAAACGGAATAGCAGAACATGCGGTTGATGGCGACAAATCTGGAAATTGGTTAGATAATAGTTGCAGTCACACAAGTGGCTTGTACAACGAGCCATGGTGGAGAGTAGATTTGGCAGAAATACACTGTATTTCACGAGTAGTTATCACTAACAGACAAGATTGTTGTAGTAAGTCCTCTATGATAACCACAGTCTTACCCTTCAAATGCGACGGG